ATCACTGACCACCTCTCATATAAAATCTTGGATCCACCACTGTTCTTAAATAATCATTATGCATTGGACGAAGCAGTCCAATACTATAATTTGCAAGACACCAAATAATACCTCTTCTGCAGTATAAGCTAAAGTTGCTCTCAAGCCTCTATAAATAGGGCCTTGGGGTTGGGAAGCCTAGCATAACAAATTGAGAGTTGTCTGAAAAATGTCTTTTGAAGGAGAGTGTAATGTTTTGCGTCCAGTGGTAGATTTCTCTGAAAACATATGGAAAGATCAATTCCCTTCCCTTCCCTCAAGTGACTCGGTAATGTTCTGGCATCACTTTTACATATATATATATATATATATATATATTCTCACGTACTGCATATCCTTTTGCATGCATTTTTCATGTTACTGAAACTCAATATGTTTGGCAGCTGGATTGAAATATTACTTTACGTATTATTTCGAGAGATCAGCCGAATGAACTGGGTTTCTTTTCTGATTCTGGATTTCAAATCGTGCGCAGGTATTTGATTCATTAACGAAAGAAATAATTCCACTGAAAGAGAAAGTGAAGGGGATGTTGAAAGCTTCTACAGCTGATCCAATGGAGAACGTCAAATTCATAGACACACTACTCCGCCTTGGTGTGTCATATCACTTTGAGAATGAAATTGAAATGCAATTGGAAAGGATTTTCAATTCCCAAGAAAATCTTTTCGTCAAAAATGACTATGACTTGAACTCTACTTCAATTGCCTTTCGAGTTTCCCGACTACTTGGTTTCAAAATGTCTTGTGGTAAGGATAAGGACAATGATAAATTTAAAATAAATGGAGTCAAACTGCTAGCATTAGGGTTTTGATCACATAAAGTATGATACAAAGTGTCTGCTAGGTCTTATTTTTTTTTTCAGTTTATCTTTTTCTTAAACGCAGAAGTGTCATGTCAAAAAGATTTCTGATAAACTCTTAAAAAAATAATTTTTTTCAAAAACAAAGTTTCAAAAAAAAAACCTCAAAGAAAAGCTTCAAATAAGAACTTTTTCTTTTCTTTTTTTAAAAACACACTACTTTTTTAGAAAATATCCCTTTCTCTCTCAGTCAACCTTCCTCTGCTCTCCCTCTCTCTGTAAATCACCTTTCTCCAATTCAAATTGCAATCTCTTTCTCCTCTACTCCTCTCTACAAAGACTATTTAAAAAAATTAAAAGGTCTAGATACTGAATAACAAGACCCAGGATTTTTTGTTCTTACAAAAGACTCAAAATTCAAAGCTGTATTTAGATAGTATATAGATTATTGTTATTGTTGTTGTTACAAAAGACTCAAAATTCAAAGCTGTATAATAAGACATCTTTATTATTATTGTTGTTGTTATTATTTTATTGCTCAATCTATATCAG